TAATGAGTCTTTGTTACTCCCTAAAATCTGGAATAATTTTAATTTGCAGGTAGAGAAAGGATATTATTATGAATTTTAGATTTGTTCAAAGATTGAATATAGATTTTTCTTAATATTTTGAAGGGAATAAAATCTTTGAAACAAGATTACAGAGTGGAGTTTGATGTAAATTAGTGAATTGAAAATCTCGTTGGGACATACTATGAAATAGCACATAATTTGTGGGTTTGGCCTATAAAAAAAAGGCATTGGTGTTTGGTGGAGAAATATGAACCTGTGAATTGATGAGTTGGTCATTATATATATTTGACTATTTTATCTCTCCTTTTTGCCGTCAACCAGTCCACTAGTTCATGATGTGATACCAAACTAACTTGCCTAACCTTTTCAATATTCTTTGTTTCATTATATATATTAGCCTATCATATTCACTTTTCAAAATAACCAAAAAAAAAAAAAAACTGTGCAACTTCAATATTTTCTCATGTCATAAATATTAATTGTTTTGATAAGCTGTATATATTCCATTTACAAAAAAGGAAGAATCTTATTACGACTTTTTTGTTCCCAAATATCATGAAAAGTATTAATTAATTAGGTGAGACATCTAAATAAGAGATAACGGATAGTTTAAATAAATATTTATATAATTAAGACTACTAAATATCTTTCTTAACGAGTGTACAAATAAATAATATGACACAGGAGGTAGTATGATTTTGGAAAATGAGAACAAAAATTAGAATAAAACTTGATTTTTCATTTTTTACGCTGGGGTGGGGACAAAAGGGGTGCGTGAGGGAAGATATTAAAGTAATATATTCACACCAAGATTTGTACAAAACGATGAGAGAAAAATTACAATTTTGTAATTGAAGGAATGTTTTTTTTTATAGACAAATATAGGAATATCATTATACCTCTCTCGTTAATCGTTATGCAAATTGTGATAATTCACTTACTAGTCAAAGATCTTTCTTGGCTTTGAATTCAGTGTGTGTCAGATTAGATTTATAATTATTTCCACTAGCAATTTATCCATAAAATGCTGTAATCCACAAAGTCAACAGTCAACAAGACTCAAGTTGATCCTATGCGAAGCTCTTAAGACTACAATTTAACATTATCTCTGTTCTTAATTTAACAAACACCAGAACTCAACAAAATTAGCGCATGCCTTCGTTTCCAAGCTGGGAGAAGAATAACTGTCCCTTTTATTTCTTTTTCAAAAAAGAGCTTAACCTCTATACATTAATAGCGTAAAAAAAACTTTTATATAGGTAAATAATTGCACATGTAATTGTCTATAACAAATTACATTAGTGAGTTGGAAAATGAGGTAATTAGTTGACATGTTAAAACAGTCAAACTTGTTTTGCAAACGCTTTTCTTCAGCCGATGGTCTGTCGAAAATAACCTCTGTACCTCATACGGAATAGGGTTAAGATCTACGTACACCTTGTCCTAGCTCCCCAGACCCCACTTATAAAATACACTGAATATGTTGTTGGCATATTAAAACAAGTTAAAGAACATTGGCTATATAAAAACTTTTTACATACCACTATGTATAAGCTAAGTTTTAAAAGGAACTATGGAGGGTGGTGGTGTGTGTGTGTGGGGGGGATGTTGTGCCATAATAATCATACTAACCCACTAAAAACAACCTTAAAAGACATGAGTTTTATTACTTTTTGTTCTATAATGACCACATAAGAATTAACAAAATCTGTCCGTCAGCCCGCATGACTCAAATTATCCCATTATTAAATACCCATACTGATTCATTCCTTAAATTACTACAATCTCACACTAAATTACAACTCTCTTCCTCTCTTCTCCTCCCTTATATTACTATACTGCTTTCCCATGTAAACATATTCAAAGAAACAAAAACAAACCAAACTGAGAAAAAGACATGGGGAGAGAGCTCTGTTCAACTGGTTCTTTCAGAAAATCATTGACCAAAATGGAGATGAAAATAAACGAAGCAATTTCAAAGAGTAGAATCGGCAAATACTTCAAGTTAGAAGCTAGAAAAAGCTCTTTTACTAAAGAATTTCGTGCTGGTACGGCGACGTTTCTTACAATGGCTTACATCATCACCGTCAACGCCAGCGTTTTATCGGATTCCGGCGGAACTTGCTCCGTTTCCGACTGTACTTTTCCGGCGAACCAAACACGTGCAAACCCAGACTGCATGTTGAAACCAAATGAAGGTTATGAAAAGTGTATTTCCAAAATGAGAAGTGATCTTATTGTTGCTACTGCCTTAGCTTCTATGATTGGGTCATTTGCTATGGGCTTATTGGCAAATCTTCCTTTGGGCTTGGCCCCAGGTATGGGCCCAAATGCTTATTTAGCTTATAATTTAGTGGGCTTTCATGGGTCTGGAAAAATGTCATATCAAACTGTTATGGCAATTTTCTTAGTTGAAGGTTGTGCTTTTCTTGCTATAGCTGTATTTGGGCTTCGTGGGAGAATAGCCCGGTTTATTCCTCAGCCCGTTAGATTGGCTTGTGCGGCTGGTATTGGGCTTTTTATTGCATTTGTGGGCTTACAAGCCCATCAAGGAGTGGGCCTAGTCGGCCCAGATCCATCCACTCTATTGACCCTCACTGCTTGCTCTAGTACAAATCCGGTGACCGGAGAATGCACCGGCGGGAAAATGCAAAGCCCAACTTTCTGGTTAAGTTCAGTTGGGTTTATAATTATGTGTTATGGATTAATGAAGGAAATTAAAGGTAGTATGATATATGGTATTTTATTTGTGACATTAATTTCTTGGATTAGGAATACTGCTGTCACAATTTTTCCTAACACATCATCAGGTAATTCAAGTTATGAGTATTTTAAAAAAGTGGTAGATTTTCATAAAATTGAGTCTACAGCTGGAGCAATTAATTTTAGCCATTTTAATAATGGTGAAGTATGGGTGGCATTATTAACATTGTTATACATAGATGTACTAGCTACAACAGGTACATTATATACAATGGCTGAAATTGGTGGATTTGTTAATGAAGAAGGAGAATTTGAAGGTGAATATATAGCATATATGGTAGATGCAGGATCAACAATAGTTGCATCAACTCTAGGTGTTTCACCTATAGCCACATTTGTAGAATCATCAGCTGGGATTAAAGAAGGTGGTAGGACGGGATTAACGGCGATAATCGTTGGATTTTATTTTCTATTGTCTTTGTTTTTTACACCTTTGATTGCTAGTGTACCACCTTGGGCTATAGGTCCATCTTTGGTAATGGTTGGTGTGTTGATGATGAAAGTTGTTAAGGATATTGATTGGAATAATATTAAGCATGCAGTTCCTGCATTTGTGACTATGGTTTTAATGCCTTTGACATACTCAATATCCAATGGTATTATTGGTGGAATTGGAGTGTATATTGCGTTAAGTTTGTATGATAGTATGGTTTGTTGGGTGAAGTGGTTGATGAGAATGAGAAAGATGGTGGTGAAGGAGCAAAATCAAGTGTCAGCTGCCACTGCAGATCAGAATATTGAAATTGTTTGATATTTTGATAGTTCATCATTGTAATTTAGTAGTTCATTTGGGTTGGAAGTAGTTTTTGTTTTATTTCATCTAGTGATAGCAGATGCACAGGCCACCGTGAAAGATCATCTTTTCAATTAATTTTACTTTTTTCAGATGGAAAATAGGCAAGATGTAATAGATTGATCTTTCAAGGGCGTTTGTGCATCTTAGGCTTTGTGGTATTCAACTATCCTGTGTCAAGTATTAAGATTTTGATAATTTTCTATGTTCATCTCTCTCCCTCCTGCAGTGTAGCTTTCTGATTCTTGGACACAGTTTTTTTTACTTTTTCTTATTGTTGGCGAAGAGTTTAATTGTTTCTTTATAGGATAGGTCACTCTGCCTATGTGGTTCATAGAAAAGAAACTACATAAAATAGCCAGATTTACAAATGATTATTGAAAAATAGCTACAGTTTCAAAAGTAATCGAAATTTATCATTTTTTATGTAAAGATAAATCTAAACAAAAACACCCTTGAAAATTCGGAAAAATTCCAACATAATATGCTGGAGTTCGAATTTTCTACGTATGAGATTCCACCATGATGTGCTGGAGTTTCATAATGTGCTTGAGTTCCAACATAATATTCTGGAAGTTTATACTAATGTGCTTAAGTTCCAACATAATATTTTGGAAGTTTATACACAGGAGCTCCATAATCCAGCATATTATGCTAGAACTTTTCATGTGTTGGAGTTTCAACATAATATGCTAGAAGTTTATACACAAAAGCTCCATAATCCAACATTCCACGTTTCAGCAAAACAATGATTATTTTTCAATGACTTTGCAAATGCTAGCTATTTTCGAAAACTAGCTAGCCCATGCTATTTTTTACCATAAAACCTAACAAGGGAGCACGCTTCCTTGAAATGACATAGATTATGAATTTTCTCTTCGAAGAATTACAATGCTCAGTGAACGGTTAGGAGTTCCTGAGTCCGAGTTGGCCCATCTCATTATAGAGATGCTGCTCGACAATGGTCTTGTAATTAGACACAGATCTCACAAATGCAAACTTTCTTAGCTATGGCGAGGAAACAATCAGTGAGGATCCCCTTGACATATTTCCTCTTTCGCGTCTCAATGGCCGCAATATGGATGGCCTCAGATAAGAAAATTTTCAAATAAACATGCTAGTAGACTCAAAAGAGGAGAGCTTCAAAATAATCCAAACGTCCAAATGATAATTTGTGATGAGTACTAACATCACAGTTGCAAATACAGTGCAACTTCAAAATGATAGTAATCAAGTTATGACCCAGCCAGGCAACAACGCTGTTCAAAACCATAAATAAGAATCTGGGCATCGCTCCTGTTTCATTCCTCTTGCAACTGCTCTAGATAATTGGCTCCAAGTAGTTCTTTTGGCATCTTACTTTTACAATTTGCGTACAGCAAATATACATTCCCACTTATTTTCAAGTTCAAAAAGACAATCATCTCCACGATTCAGGCCATAAGCTGCAGCAAAAATTTTCCATCCATTTGTCAAAACATCAACACCTGCTCTGCGATGATAGAGGATTGGCCAGATTTTTTTATCCGGTCCTCGTAGAAAAATAATCCACCTTTCCAGCTTTGCCTTTTTCATTAAATATTTTCGCCAGGATTCTGGTAATTCCTGCACAGGCATAAACGAGGCCTAAATTCAAGGAGAGATAAAACGGATGTACATATTGGGAAACAAAGAGAACTTCAGCCAAGTACAAGAACTAATTTGCAGTGTAGAGCGCACTAGATTCTCCAAAGACTAGGCAATATGCCTGAAATTACACTAGAAAAAAACGAACACAGTGGTCAGGTTACTACAAAACTGGAACTCACAAACAGCAATGCAATGTAACTGCTGCTTCACATGGTTTTCAGGTGATGAAAGGACTGGAACTATCAAAGATCAATGTAATGTAGGTGTTGCTTCATATAAACTTTGATGCTCCTATATGACATCTTCCTCTTTTTTAACACTATAAACCAAAGAAGCACAATCTCTTTTTTTCCAAAGAGAAACCTAACAAAATGTCTGCACTGCACACTTCTAAGAGTTGAAATCAGCCATTTGCTGACAAAAAAGGAGTATAAAGAGAACTGTCCATTATTTACCAATTGATTCAGTTATTTCAAGAAAATCATACCTCAACATGATTCAAGGACATTTATAATCACAAAATATACTCATTAACTTTAGATTTAAAGAAATTCTGCCATCATTGGCATCTCCTGCTTCATAGATGCTAAATTTGAAACATAGCTATACTTGATCAAAGTAATAATTATAAGTTACTATATGTCCAGTGTGATTTTAAGATGCTTACTTTAAACATTGAAAAAGAGAAAAGTTTAATCTAAATCCAGCATATGGGCTTGCAGTCATCATTTTATTATTTATGTATTTTTCTTTTTCAATATTTGAGTTACAAAGTAATCATCACTTTTCTTCGATCTTCATGAATTTGTAAAAACATTTTATGGTGTTTAAGCCAAAGGCGTCCTGACAAAGACATATATTCCCTCTATAACATCTTAGCAAATGCAATACTTTGATGAAAAGAAGTCAAAATGCATGCATCTTCAGCGGTAAATTCAAGACTCATACAAATTTAAGCAGTATATAATGCCAATATTGAGAAATATTCACAGAGAATGCATCAGACAATAGGAATACTGCAATTCAGCAAGATGGAGAATCGAATGATACTTAAACAAGCTGTTACCAGAAAATCTCGACCATCGACCTCCAGCAAACATGAATAGCTGACTGCCGTAAGAGATGGCATGTCTCCTGAATCAGCAGGCTCACATTTGATGACTTTTTCATTACCATTTGCTGGCTCCTTTCCTGAATCTTGTACATCACAACAGAAAGCAGGAAGAAGATGCTCAAAGGCAGTCAAAGCACAGCACAAACATTGCAGTTATGAAAAAGGAAATCAAAGTTCAAATAAGTTTTAAAAATATATAAGAATGAAATAAAAAGCATACCACTTATTGCTCTAGCAGGATAATATGCTTTTGCTGCTGTCTCCTCAAATTCTTTCTTGACTAGTCTTGTTTCACTAGCTTCATGTGGCAAAAACGTTTACTATGTAAAAATCGAATAAAGTCAATATAAGGATTTATACTAGCCGATCAAGCACCAGCCAGGGTTGACTACAGGTAATCAGGCATGGTGAAGCTAGGGAAAAGTAAATCAAAGTTCAAATAAGTTGTAAAAATGTATAAGAATGAAAAAAAAAAGCATACCACTTATTGCTCTAGCAGGATAATATGCTGTTGCTGCTGTATCCTTAAATTCTTTCTTGACTAGTCTTGTTTCCCTAGCTTCATGTAGCAAAAACATTTACCATGTAAAAATCCAATAAAGTCACAATATAAGGATGTATACTAGCCGATCAAGCACCAGCCAGGGTTGACTAGAGGTAATCAGGCACGGTGCTGAGCTTCATACAGCTCAAAATTTCTGGCTCAACTTCAGCTCCATCAGGAAACAAAAAAAGCTCAAGGTTGAGAAGTTTGACCAGGCCTAAATCAAAACCAGCAATTTTGTGCCAAAACTCTTAATTCCTATTCCCAATTTAACCAACCCAGCTAGGAAAGGCGAGAATGATTGTTTAGGGGGAACGAGTCATATCTATCTCCCTAATGAAATGACCGAAATGGTGATTGAATCCCTTTTTATACACAGTGCCAATTGCTTCATCATTGTACTGGTCTTAAAGTTAACCTATCGCATTGGAGCCACTATTGAGTTGATTCGAAGCTCATGCAAAACCTTGTGCTACTGAGAATAAAGCTTCTCAAGAAGTGGATAACAACAAGAGAAAAAGAAAATTTTAGTAACCTTAGTACCAACTCAATTGTTCCTTAGCCTAAAGATTCCCACTTTTGACCTATATCATTTTCTCCTACAATCCAGGCTAAGAAAGAGTGGCACAACGATGCACTTCGGATATGTGATTGAATTCTATAAAGGGTAAGGGTTTTGTTCTACTTTGGAAGCAGCAAGATGGTCAGGATGGGCTTAAGGAAGGTGGATGTGAGCTGGCAAGGGAGAGTAGCGTAGCCTCAGGCAGTGGCGTAGCCACCTTATGCCAAGGGTGGTGAAGCGCACACCCTTCGCCGTAAAATTATACTGCGTATATAAGTTAAATACTACTTTACATGGTTATATATAATATTTGACATAGTTGAGTAAGGTAGTCCAGCAGTTCAGGGTGTCCAAAGTGACGTGTTGTTCACGGGTTCAAATTTTTGCGCGTTTTGTTTGCCAAAACTAAACGGAGATCACCATTTGTGGTCTATTTGATTCTATTTTAATCTAAAAAAAATTCTAATAAAATAACTGATAAAACTTAAAATTTGTGTAGAAATAAACAAGTAATCTTAAAAGTAATTTTTTAACTAAAAGTTATTTCTTAAATAAATTTTATAATTTAAAAGTCAAGGTCTACATAAATTTCTTCAACAAAAGCTCTCTACAAACTACAAATTCCCTCGACTCTCTTTCCTTTGATTTTATGCTTACTTTTATTAGTAAAATTTCTAATATTGTCTTTTTGTTATTTTTATTTTGGCGTATAAAACTATAATTCTATTAAATTTTTTTTTAATTGTTTAGCTAAATGTTGCATAGTTTGATTTTAAAAATTTGGTATACTATTCGTCGACAAAAAAAGTACAATTGACTTAGCTTAAAGTTTGAACACCCTTGGTGAAATTTCTGGCTACACTAGTGGCCTCATGGGGGCTTGTAAGGGGCATATATGATAGGAAAGGCTCTTGTCTTGTGGGATGGGAGGAGTAAGGATCATTTAAAGACTATGGAGGACATGATTATGTAACGACCCGGCCGGTCGTTTTGAGAATTTACGCCCCGATACCCTATTAACTGCTTTCCCCGTGTTTATTTCTGCTATTGTGATTTGCCGGGAAGATCCGTTTTGAGTTTCGGAGTGTTTTGGGACACTTAGTCCTTATGAGAGCTTAAGCTTTAGAATTTGGCTCGTAGTCGGAACAGTGTAAAGACGGCCTCGGAATGGAATTCCGTCGATTCCGTTAGCTCCGTTGGGTGATTTCGGGCTTAGGGGCGTGTTCGGATTGTGTTTTGGAGGTCCGTAGCTTATTTAGGCTTGAAATGCCGAAAGTTGAATTTTTGAAGTTTCCGGATCGATAGTGAAATTTTGATATCGGGGTCGGAATCCGATTCCGAAAGCCGGAATGTGAATTGTGTGCAAAATCTGGGGTCAATCGGACATGGTTTGGTTGGTTTCGGCATCGGTTGTAGAATTCTTGGGATTTCAAGTTCATTAGGCTTGGATTGGAGGGTGATTCGTGATTTTAGCGTTGTTTGATGTGATTTGAGGGTTGGACTAAGTTCGTAAGATTGGTTGGCATGTTTGGTTGAAGTCCCGAGGGCCTCGGGTGAGTTTCGAATGTTTAACGGAAGTTAAATTGGACTTAGGTAATTTCTGAACTTCTGAACTTGTTGGTTTCGCACCTGCGGAGTTGGACCGCAGGTGCGGCGCCGCAGAAGCGGTTAGGCAACTGCAGATGTGGTCTGAGGCTTGGAAATCGATTGTCGCAGATGCGGCTCAAGGACCGCAGAAGCGGAATCGCACCTGCGAGTAAAGGGGCGCAGGTGCGGAATCTGGTCGTTTAATGAAATTCCGCAGGTGCGGAGTAGGAGCCGCAGGAGCGGGACCGCAGATGCGATGGACCTCTCGCAGAAGCGGAAATTGCTGGGTAGAAAAGAGAGAAATCGAGGGTTTGAATTCATAACTTCTAAAATCGATTTTGAGCTCGGTAGAAGGCGATTTCTTGAGAGATTTTGAAGGAGAACTATGGGGTAATGAATTGTAACTCTAATTTGGTTCTAATACATTAATCTATTGTTAGTTTTATCATCTAATTAAGGAATTTGAGGGTAAAAGTTGGGAAATGGGGGAAAAAGTCCCCCAATGGAAAATCTGAGTTTTTAGTGAGAATTTGACGTCGGATTGGGATGATTTTTGTACGAGTGAACTTGTGAGTGAATGGGTGTTCATAATCGCGATTCCGAGACGTGGGCTCAGGGAGGATTTTTGGGCGCTTTTCTATTTTCTTGACTTAGCTTCGATTCCTTTAGCTAAACTCGTGGCAAGAGTGTGATTTCGGATTGATTGAGCTTGGTTCGAGGTATGTGGCTTGCCTAACCTTGTGTGGGGGAACTCCCCTTAGGATTTTGGTACTGTTGTTATATGAATGCCGTGTACGTGAGATGACGAGTGCGTACATGTGCTAATTGTTGAAAAAACCCGTTTTCATTAAGTAAATATATGTGTTTTCTTTCAATTGAGCAATATTTGTAATTGAAGTTTCCTGTTAGGCTTAGGAAAGCATGCTTATGTGACTTAACTGTTTTCTCTGCTTTAACTGCTTACTTGGATTCTGTGTAGCATGTTTAGAGTAGAATTTTCCTGTTTTCTTGATACGAACTTGGATAGAACAGTAGATTTCTTCCTTGAGACTGTTGTGTGTTTACTTTGGGACTACGGGACGGTATCCCGGGAGATTCCCTGCTTGTTTACTTTGGGACTACGGATTGGTATTCCGGGAGATCCCCTGCACCTTTATATTTGGGACTACGGGACGGTATCCCGGGAGATCCCCTGTACTGGCTATTTACTTTTAGACTACTGGACGGTATTCCGGGAGATCCTCTGCACATTTATGTTTGGGACTACGGGACGTTATCCTGGGAGATCCCATGTTGCTATCTCTACTTACTGAGTTATTTCCTTTCTGAGATTTCATCTTTATTTGACTGTTAGCATCCTTAATTACACTATTACGTTTTATACTGTTTTACCTAATTATATTTATAACCAGTATGGCCCTGACCTTCCTCGTCACTACTCGACCGAGGTTAGGCTTGGCACTTACTGGGTACCGCCGTGGTGTACTCATGCCCTTTCCTGCACATGTTTTCGTGTGCAGATCCAGGTTCTTCTGCTCAGCCATACTATCCGTGAGGCGAGGCGACTCAGAGACTTCAAGGTATATCTGTCGCGTCCGCAGACCTAGAAGTCCCTCTCTACTCTCCCTACTGTTATAGGCTTTTCCCTGTATTTTTCCTTTGTTATTAGATTTCAGGAGTTAGAAACCTTATGTATTCTCTTTAGCTTGTGATTCATGAGATTCCAGATTTTGGGAGCATTTTTGTTCAGTTTGAGAGAGTGTTATTGTATATGCCGAGCGGCATTATAACCTTTTTTATTATATTACCCGTAATTTTCTAGTTTCGTATCTTTAATTCTTTTTCCGCTAATTGTTAGGCTTACCTAGTCGTAGAGACTAGGTGCCGTCACGACAGTTCATGGAGGGAGAACTTGGGTTGTGACAGATTAGCACAATCAATAAAAAGGAATCAAAATAAGTTAGGTCATATATTGGAACTTTTAAGTGTGAGTCCAAAAATTCCGAATAGAATAATTAATTATACCATTTCCAAAAGACACCAGAAATCCAGCACGGCAACAACTATGCCTCAGCCCCAACAAGTTGGTGTCGGCTATATAAATCCTCACTAACCATGTTACCAATTTACATTCATCTCAGGCCAAACAAGAAATCAACACCAAAACAATTTTCAATCACAATTTCAAGTTGGAGAAGAGAGAAAACTTTCAGATGGTTGTTAACAACATTCAAAAGAACTCTACCATTTTGAATTACACGAAATAAGAGAAGTTTTTTAATTCTTGAGATGCAAATCTTAGGACATAATCATTAAGAATATTTTACACAATAATCTTAATGATTCTTTTGACTTTCAACAAGACCACCAAACTCAAAGTGGGTTTGCTTACCGCTTAATTTGAAAACAAGATATACTAAAAAATCATCGGAATAGCGAACAAAATCATCAGAAAGAAAAGGGTGGTGTAAGTCTTTGCCTTGAAAATCATCACTGATTGGACACCCTAAACCAAAGGTGCTTCTTACACCAAAAAGAGGTACTGGGATGAAATCATCGACATAGATTTAATTGACCATTGAAGAGTAACCAAAAAACGTTTTGGACTAATGACAAGAAAAACGCTACAAGAATAGCCAGTATAGAGGCGGAGCCAAATGGAATGGACCAAAAAAAAACTTGGCGTTATCAGAGCAATTACCAAGAAGAAACATAGTGCCTCTTGAAAGATTAACAAAAAAGCCTGATGCTACTAAGACAGTCATTGGAGAGAGGAGTTGTGCAGCAGGAACAGTCACCAAAAGAAGGTAAGAATAGTACAACTGAAAGAAAAGAAAATTCTGGCTGAATCGATAATGTGAAGCGCTGGTAGGTGAGAACTACTTGTCTCTACCAAGATCATGGAGGCTCTGTTACCAAGTAAAGAGAGAAAATTTCGATGAGATTGGATTTCAACATATAAGAGAAGCAAGTTTTCTGGGGAATTCCAAATTGCTGTGACAATACCATTAAGGATATTTCACCCCCATGTTCAAGAAAAATGAATTTACAAGTTCAAATATAAATAGAATTACAAAATACCTAGCAGTTGCTTGGAACGGAGGAATAATTATGAAATAGATACTGCCTAGCCTGAACGTAGTCTTGAAGCCAAATCTTTGATGATGTCAAATATGGAGGGTAGAAACAACGTTTTCATGGAAAAGGTAGTAACTAAGGAAAAGCATGAGAAATTAGATGGATGGGACAACTAGATGAATACCAGTGAAGGGTTTATAATGATGAGTACTGGGAGAAGAGAGAGGATTAGTTTTTGAAACTGACGAGTAAAGAACAAAATTTAGGGTCTTCCAACACATACACTAAGGACAGTAATGTAATTTGGTATACAATTAATCACCACAAAGAACAAAAGGCTCCGCTGTGCTCACGAGCCTACAAGTTGATCTTTATGGAATCTAAGCTCGACTTGAGACTGCATTTCAGACCAGCTCAAGACTGAGGCCAAGCTCGACATAGTGTGAGCAAAACCGAGCTATAGCTGAGCCTTTGCTGCCTCAACTCAGATAGACATATCCCTAACATGTATATTGACGCAGCACAACAAAAACAAAAAGATTCCTAACAATTTGAGGCGATCAGAAGCTTACCGAACTGAGATGCTTCATTGGATTTCTCTCTAGTAATTTGATTACTGCCTGTGCAGCGACCATCTTTGTTGTCAGATTGCAACATCATAGACTCTAATATCAATCATGTGGGTGAGGAAAACAAATCGGAGTCAATTAAACTATATGAAGGATAATAAGACATTGATAAAATGAAATGGGCAAAGGCAACTAACTAGTGTCAGTACTCATCCAATGATTTTGGTATTTGGTGACATTTGATACGTCATCATTTTTGTTGACATTTGCAGCACGTTTCAAGAATGAAGAAGAGATAATACCACTTGGACAATCATTTTGATCTTTTTGACTCAAAAGTGGAATATCTTCCGCTGGTACCATATCAGTTCCCGTGATTTCAGCCTCAAACTTTGGCAACAATTCTTCTGAATTTAAGTAGTCAGCAACAACTACTAAATTTGGTTCTGTTTGTGATCTTAAATTGGTTTCAACATGATTAGAATTTCCACCGTCAGCTTTTAAAAGACTGCTAGTTCCTTCTGCAAGAGGTTTGCTTGCTGGCATTTCAAAACTTGACAGATGTAAGCACAACCTGTCGTCTCCTTGATGATATTGAGCATCTCTATCAATCATACAAAACGATTCGTCCACGTATACAGCTGGATATACTAATTGTCCCTTCCCAGTGTCAGCATCAATGTTAGTTGCAAACTTTGTAATATGTGTCTTGCATGGGACCTTTTCGGACTCTGATACAGCAGATATTTTACTCCTTTTGTTGGCTGGATTTATATCAGTTGTCTGAAGCAGCTTAACCTGGGAAGTTGCTTCTGGATAAGTCCTTATTTTTCTTTTCCCTTTGCCGAAGTCACTGTAGAACTTGATCTTTTGACAACCACTTTTATCATATATTTGAACAAGGAAGTACTGACCCTCAACATAGTAGAAAACCAAGAAGTCACCCAGATTCAGACCATGTTCAGATGAAAATTCAGGCCATCCCTGTCGAATAGCAAGTGAACCTTTATGGTTACATACTTTTACCCTCCATCTCTGTCCACTCGAGTCCTCCAGATAAGTTTCCTGATCAGTCAGGTGTGAAACTGATCGAGCAAACGTGGGGGGAAAGTACTGAAAAGAATTTGCAAAAGTTAAAACTAAGAAATAACACAAAATCGACACATAAAACAAATGCTAGGATAAAGAAACAGGTTTATGACCATATCCTTAGAAGTCTTTTGAGTACTGTATAGTACATTTGCTTATAAAACAAATGCCAAGGCGTCTTGATAGCAATGGACACCTTTCTTAAGAAAATAAAACCATGAAAATTGGTTTGTTAACCGCATTATTACCGGAGAACAAATTGCAGTAAACTACAAATAAAGCTTCACAAATATGCAAATACCTAGATACCACAGATAAATATATTCCTGTAAGAAGCTTCAAGGCTTAATCAATGATTTATGATCTACCCGCTAAAAACTTGAGAGGTACTTAAGGAGATTTGAATCATCATTCCAGAAATGAAGTTAACTTTAAACAATTTACACGTTTTTCAAGTAACTATTAACTAAAAGAATATACAGAATCACATGATGCGTGAATGGATAGGTTTGACAAAATGCTCCGCAAAGTGCATGGACTGTGGGAGAGGAAGAAAGTCCACGAGAACACCTATTGCAGGTCCCAATTACTAAAGTTGTTCATAAGCAGTTGTCTCTCTAAAATTTATGGAGCATTTCATTTTTGTGTTAAGGTCTTTGAAAACGGGAAAGTTGCCTTCTTAATCCTTCCAGCAGAGTGACTTTAAAGCAATATAACATATAATCTTTATTTTAGTTTGGGGAAGTTAAGGAGGCACTGAATACTCATTTTAGAAGCAATAGCTTGTGAAAATTGAAGAATTCTTTCCAGGATTTTCTTGTTTTTTAAGAGCAGGTAATCCTTTGAAAACATGATGTTTCAGAACTCAAAGGTGTTTGGCATGAGTTCTAAAACTTAAACAGGCCTTTTGGGCTCTACTGCAAAAATTGACAAATGCAGATCATGATCATTATCAAGTGCATAGATACGTACTGAAAGATAACTAATATTAGGAAATTCAAGTGGTTAAAGAAAATTCTTAGACATTCTGGATGATCGTGGAAAGGAAGATCAGATAGATACTATTGCACTCAGTTTATTTGAATGAATCGGTAGCTATAGCACCGAACTCTACCATAACTAAAGTAGAAATCAAGCCTATATCTAATTCGATAGCAGATTAGTTGGATTAGCTCACTTCTCTATAGGTTACATATGCATTCTGCAAGGTCTTCCAAAATGGCAAAAATGCAAAACATCTGAATTATATTAAAAGTAGCAGCAAATATTTACTAGTCATAATTGAAATCTACTTCTCCCTATTCCGCATCACTAGGTTAGGAACAACCATGAAGGGATGAGTTTATGGAAAAGAATTCTGGCCAAGTAGTGCTATTTATGTAGTGTCCTTTAATAATTTGTAGTTATATCTAAGGATTTTGGAATCATGAGAAAGCTAAATGGGATAGACGTCTTCTTTTCTGAAATGGAGGATAGACGTCTTCTAAACAACAACAACAAACCCAGTGTATTCCCATAAATGGGGTCTGGGGAGGGTAGTGTGTACACAGACCTTACCCCTACCTTATAGAGGTAGAGAGGTGGTTTCCGATAGACCCTCGGCTCAAGGAACAGTGGAGGTAAAGCAACAAGTAGCAAATAATAGTAGCAACAATGTATTATGGTAACAACGCGAATGACACAGCATATAATAGTAAAGAACCATGAAGAGGATAGACGTCTTCTGTTATCTTAACAAGAAACAAAATCGATACAAAACTATGGAGGACCTAGGACCATAAACGCAAAGATAAAGTTGTTTCGATATTTTCAAGAAGTAGGTCAAAAACCTGTTTCTCAAATCCAAAAAGTTAGTAGCCACCACTTCCAGTACTAATTTTTAATCAGTTTTCTCACGAAGTTCCATAGCAGAAGTTCCTTTTCAAGAGATTTTTCATCTTTTCATTAATTTGCATTCATTGCACAACTTAGGGTGTGGTCTATAAGAAAAATAAGGTATATCTCAGTGAAGTTTAAGGGAAGAAGATCAAACTAAGCTACCAGAGTAAACTGTATCATAAAATGATCATTAATAGTAGGTAACAACCTCCTTATGGTAAGTCATTTACCTGGAGCACATATAGCGATCATGAGGGCAAAACAGGATCATAAAAGAAAGATTACTTGGTTAATAGCTGTTGTGGTGTTATTACAGAAGCTGTAACTTATATTCGATATACTCCTGCATTTATTTATTCAAATGTTTATTTTGATAAGCAATATATTCCTGCAGACTTTTGCCATTTACAAGTGACTCCAGGAACTCCCAATCTTGTTAACATACAGATAATCCTTCTCAGTTCAAATATGATGTAGCTCTATTCCCTCAAGAGTTGTTTATCCTTAGCTGAGGAGAAAATTGAAACTCTAGTGCAAGTTATAATTCATTTCTGCCTGCATATCCTTCCGATCATTTTGGGTGTAAGAATTTGTTTCTGTTTTCTTCTGAGTTCCATTGATTCGGTCATTCTGAATACAGTGTGCAAGAGTTCTGCCAGTTATGGTACCATATCTTGGGTATGTCAATGTTGAGGACTTACAGGTCACATAATTATTACTTCAGCTATTCCTCCTTTAGTTGGTAATAGTTGGTACAGATCCTACACCTCCTGCATTGGCGTGTTCTCTCAAAATTAAACTTGCGATGGTAGAGATCCTTTAGTTATAAATTTTGCGTTCTCTCAAATTTTTTAATGTGGTAGACTTACACAGCTCACATATTATCAGTTCAACCGTCCCTCCTTTATTAGGTACAGATTCTACGCCTCGTGCGTTGGCATCTTTTCTCATTATTTCTACACTTTTCATGGTTCCTAAATGAGTTCTCTTCCATTTGATTGTCAAATATCAGATCACTTATTCACTATCGTCTTAAAGTTGTTATAGAGTGAATACCAATCTCATATTTCAGTGGAGCATTCACTTGAAATTTTATCAGTTAAGTTGTACTTCATTAATCTGTTAATTTCAGAATGGAAAGGTTCAAATCTTATCCCAAATGAAATTTAGTCAGAAGCTCTGAACATAAGCAAGACCTTGTTTAACCACTTTTCCGGTGTTTATTGGTCCTAATAATCCTGTAGTTTGCTAACTATGTCAAAGTTTATCATTTCTGGAGCTTTTTATCGCCTCGTTCAGTTTAGATCCAAAGTGATATTCTTTAGCTTTGGCTTTCTGAGTTCATAAGAATCTGCTAAAATCCCTCTTTAGACTCAAGTAAGAATCCGATTTTACGATCTCAAAGGGCATGTAAGGATGAGGTTCAATACCATAACTGTTTTCTGTGCAGTGTATTGCTTTAAATATGCTGATATGCTATTTTAATTTTTTAGGAGTGTTTGGAAGGTCTTCCATATGAGGAAAAGAAAAGATCTAGAGGCGTTTCACGTTAGTCAAAACACCCAGAAAGAAGCTCCAGTAAAAAATATATTTTCAGCCACGTTTGCAGAAGTAGAATTAATGTATAGATTCAGGATGATTATGAGGAGTTAAATTTAGTATATGACAAGAAGGATTGAAGATACAAGGGGATGAATAAACTGAAACACTACATGGCCATGTCCAGAATATCAGAATCTTGAGAAGATTTAACTGAAAGGATCCCGTAAGTCTTCAATTAAGGAAATGACTTTCATTTTCGTTTACCTTTACATTCTTCTCGTAAGATTGAAATTAAGAAAATGACCTCCATTGACCAAAAAGGAGGTTGATTAGTGATCATGGATAAATAACCAAGAAGGAGGTTGAAAATGACCTACATCGACCAAGAAGGAGGTTGAAAATGACCTACATCGACCAAGAAGGAGGTTGAATAGCGACCACGAGTTGATAAACAACCAAGAAGGAGGTTAATTATCGACAATAGGGGTGATAATCCACCAAGAATTAATTGATAATCCACTGAGAAGAAAGCTGGATTAGTGATCACGGGTTGATGAAGGACCAAGAAGGAGGTTGATTATCGACAATAGGGTGATAATCGACCAAGAAGGTAGTTGATAAGAACGACTACTGGTTGATTTAATTGAAACTAATCCAAACATGGAAAGACAGAAGAACAAAAAAAATCGCCATTTTTTTTTAATGTTCTTTAATCTAAATAAAGGGTCATCCACCAATTAAAAATAACTTGAGGTCATTTACCTAATTTAAAACTTAGAAAAGGTCTTTTATTTAATAACTTGATGCCGGCTAGTTAGCTAGGTGTTGTAGCCTTGTTTCTTCCATTGAAAGATTGACGATTGACGGATTGAGTTCCTAAGACATCTTGGGATACCGCGGAAAATAGTATGGAGTACAATCATGAACCTAAAGGGTACGCTAAAGTTCATATTTGGGAAATGCTTTTTCAGTCCTTTAATCTTTCACACATTTTAACTACATTGATGAGAAAAAACTATAGTAAACATAAAGATTAGTCTTCAAAATATTAAGTAAAAGGATGTCATCAAAAAGTAGACATATAACTTCAAGAAGGACTGGAAACTGCAAATATGGTTATCAAAACCAACAGTACATTTAGAACGAGTACTTTAAACTAAGTTAAGAAAGTAAGCACACAAAGAAAAAATCACATTCTACCAGAATTTTGAGGAAACTCTTGTCGATCATCACTTTAAAGAAAGAAGAAACCCTCTTTCCATGAAACAAGAAGCCGTTTTGCTTGCACTCATCAGATGCTTCCTTCTCGCATCCCATTTCCTCCCAGTACAGAGTATGTCTCCCCAGAAACTTCTAACTCCTATATAGTATATGAAACTCACGAAAATATCAGCTAAAATTTTAAGTTTAGAAGAAAAAAATGGGAGAAAAGGGTGGACGGACCAAGGCATAGTAAGATGTCAAAAGTATGTTCAGGCCAACTAAAGCCAGAAGAATGATATAACAGTATCCAGGCAATTTATTAAAATTCAAATAGATGGTAAATTTCCCTTATGCAAATTCTTTCGACTACTTTGTATTCTCAAGAATAGACCAACGTAACTTTCTTGTCGAAATCTTGATATGTATAAAGTTATAAAAGCTCAAGAGAAAAAAAAAACAAAAAAATGAAAACTTAAAGTAAATTTTTTGTGATGATGATGGTGTGTGGGCCAGCTTCCACGCACCAAGGCTATTCCACCTGGTCATTGTTATCGCCCACCACGACAGATACCAAGTAACTATGTCCACCAAGACTTGGAAATATACGAAGAAATCACCTAGTATTTTTTAATACTGTAATTAATGAAGTAACATTTTGTCCAAAGATGGTAATCTAGGCATGACCTTCAATTTCTAGGGTTGCGCTTCAGTGAAATCGGCTACATGCACGTTATGAGATCAAGTCATATATGTTAACAATCAAAGCAGATAACAATAAAGGTAGCCGATCGATGTGTTAATGCAGCCATGATTGACGATCCTTCCATTTTTAAGCAAGCTCATCACTTTAATCAGCTATTACCATTTTTTAACATAAACCCTATATGACAAACATCGCTACTATCTGGTTGAGAGCAGCTAAAAATCAAAGAAAAAAAAAATGAAGAACTTCTAGACTGAGAAAAAAAAAAAAAACGGAAACAACGGAGAAGAAAAAAATAATAGGTACCGTCTGAAAACAGAGTAAAACAGCAGGGTGAGAGTAAGCTGAATCGATTCGCTACCGTTTCTCAGTTTTGTTCAAGTTGCAGAGCTTCCTTTTCGCACTGTCCAAAAAATAGCCTTTTGTTGCTTTATCCATCTTATTGTAGGAACTTTGCGTGCGGAATTTACTATATAGCGCATAATCTGTACTAGGATTATGTCACGCTCAATACACGTGATCATTTTTTATTTTATTTTTTTAAAAAAGGAGAAGATTATTTTAAGATTAAAATAAAGCAAAAATCACGTTTGTTGATGAACTTCTAAAGTAACTTAATTATTCAACACGTGTAGAAAATTTTGGACTACTTCAGGAAGTCGTTTGGTTGTTCCAGCATAAGTTAGTAAGAGGGATTTAAAAAAAATCTCAGCATTCAGCATTACTTATATAGCATTTGGTAGGATTATAAGAAAAATAGTTCATCCATAGTTTTACAGTATTTGGTTGATAATATTAAATAATATCCACAATTAAGTTATTGAGAAATTTATATATTATTTTATGGGAGATAAGATATAGTACGTATATTAACAATTGGGGTGGTTTTTGGCCATAGATTCCCAAATTTGTTTTGAAAAATCTGATTTTGGTGAAGTTTGGTTTGAAGATGAAAATGTGTTTGGACTATGGCTGTCCAACGGGACGGGACGAGACAAACTTAACGGGACGACATGACAAACGAGACGAAACGGTCGGCCCATCCCGTCCCGCTAACAAACGGGATGGGACGGGACGGAACGGGAGGGGACGGGTTCGCGGGCCTTAAGTGTAGTTTTAAAAAAAAAGTCTAGTTTTTTGAAAATGACTAAGTTTTTAAAGTTTGCAACGGCTAATTTTTTGACTTATTTAATAAACTTAAATGTCAAAACGAAAATTAGAAAACTAAGTAAAGAATTATAAAATATTAAAACAAAAGACTTGTAATGAAATATTCTAGTAATTATAAATTTATAATAGAGTTATAATTTATTTAATATAGTTTCAAAGTATTAAGTAACTAAGACAATTCATAAAAAAAATTCAACGCTTAGAGCCTTTTATTTTATTAATAGAACTTTCAAATCTCACATACAAATATAATTCTTTTGAAGAGCACCTAATCTACGCCGCCACCTTCTAGGAAGAGTTCTGTTTGAACTAGGCCTCTTAGTAGCCAATTACAAATTATCATACTAATATTTGTAAGCTCCTATATAGCTTCTTTGTAACTTATCAATAATATCTCTGTGTTAGCAGAAGCATTATCTAAGGTGATAGTTAAAACTTTATCAATGAGTCCATAAAAATCAAGTATTTGTAGAACAGTAGTTGCAATATATGCTCCAGTGTGTTTTGAATCGACAAATTTATAACCAATAAAACGTTTTTGCATGTTCCAGTGATGATCAACCCAATGACATGTAACAGTTAAATAATCACAACCATTAGGACTACGACTTATATTAGATGTGATAGACACTTTACAATCTAAGTGAAAAAATATACAACGAATATACTGAAGATATTCGGTTTGAAATTTAAAAACATCATTTCTAACCGTGGTCTTAGGAAAACCTTAAAAAGCAGGGTTATAAGTTTATTGTATATAATGCACAAAAGCAGGGTGAGAAGGAAAAGTAAAAGGTAAGCCACAGACAACCACAATTTTTGCTAAGTTCTCACGATCTCTATCTTTGTTATAAGGCCGTAAAACAGTACCGGAAGTAGGATCAAGCTGTTGTTGTACAAAATTAGAACCTCCACCAGATCCACTAGGAGTGCCAGTACCGGTGGTAGGATCTATAATTTTTCCGGATCTATGCTAGCTTGTATCCATAAAGATTTGTCATCCTTAAGTAAGTGTGTGGTTAAACCCCATGTCCCACTACTTTTTGTGTGTACAAATTGTTGCTTACATTTATCACATATAGCACGATGACTGACTTTATCATATTTAAAAAATTTCCATACAAGTGATATTTTGGGACGTTCAGCCTTAGGCTTACCCCTTACAGGGGGTACATGGGGTAAAGCTCCAGATCGAGATTGACTCTGAGTTTGTCACGACCCGGATTTCCCATCCTCTGGAGTCGTAATGGCGCCTACTCGTAGAAGTTAGGCAAGCCACACATTTAGAGTTCATAATATTTTTGTTTTAAATCCATGTTTACCAATTAAACTAACAGGAGATAAATAATTAAACAACAGCGGAATTCATAATTTTGCGGAAGACTTAAACGAAGTAAACCAAAATAATAAGGAAAATCCACATATGCCTCTACCCAGGACTGGTGTCACAACATTCACGGACTATCTAAGAGTGCTACATACAACTGTCTGAAACAAGGAATAAAGTCTGTCTCGGATACAAAAGGAAACAGATCATAAATAAAGATAGAGGAGATGCCGGGCCTGCGGACGCCTGCAGGACTACCTCAGGAATCTCGGACTGAAGGATAGCTCCCAATCTACTGCTGATGACCAAAAGCTACTCCGGGACCTGGATCCGTGCAAAAGAGCACAGAGTGTAGTATCAGCACAACCGACCCGATGTGCTGGTAAGTGCCTAGCCTAACCCCGGCGAAGTAGTGACGAGGCTAGACCAGACTACCAAATAAACCTGTACAGATATACAGTATATGGCGGAAAAATAAACAAGAAATGAGCAGTTAAAAGGGAGGGGGTACATGCCTCGGGAAACAGTTCAACTTAGCAGAAACTAAACAAATGTGAAGGAAGAGCACAGAATCTAAAACAATATAATAACACTACTATTGCGGCGCGCAACCCGATCCATAGGTATATATATATAACTGTTGCGGCGTGCAACCTGATCCAATAAATATAATATGTCTGTTGCGGCGTGCAACCAGATCCAATATAATATATATGTAGCGGCGTGCAACCCGATCCAATATAATATATATGTTACGGCGTGCAACCCGATCCAATATAATATATATGTTGCGGCGTGCAATCCGATCCAATATAATATATATATGTTGCGGCGTGCAACCCGATCCATATATGTATACATAAATAAAAATGTTGCGGCGCGCAACCCGTTCCAAATATACAGCTCACAATAATCATGATAAAAATTCCGGCAAGGGATTAACCATAAAATACTCTATCCCGGCAAGGGAACTCAACAGTACATGTATATTCGTCCCGGTAAGGGAGAACCAGCTATAACCAATCTCAATTCAACTTCTAATCATCTCCATTATCACCATTTCCAACTCATAAATACTTCTACGAAAATAAGCTAATCCTTTACTCAATACCATAGATCTATTCACTATTACAACCATAGTATTATTCAAGAATACAATAAATATCAATTTAAGACTCACGGTCATGCTCGATACCGACGTGTAGATACTCGTCACCATGCCTATACGTCGAACTCCACAAGAAACACATAGCAAATATGACTCAACTCCTAATCCCTCAAGCTAAGGTTAGACCAAACACTTACCTCAAACTTCCACGGGCAATTCAATCCTCAATAACCGCCTTTCCTTTCGAATCCGGCTCCAATTCAATTGTATCTATACAATAATGACTTCAATACATCAACAAATGCTAAACAATACGAACCCAATGCCTAATTATAGCTTTTCCATCATTTTCCCCCAAAACTCAAAAATCGACCCCGGGCCCGCTTAGTCAAAACACGAGGTTCGGACTAAAATCAAATCCCCAATTCACCCAAGAGCCCAAATATATAATTTATTTTCAAATTCGACCCCAAAACGAGGTCTAAATTAAGAAAAATCAAAAAGCCCTAACTCTACCCAAATACCCAATTTTCTACCTTAAATCACATGTTTTAGGCCTAGAAATTCAATAGATGTTGATGAAAATGGAAGGAAATAAGTTAAAGATTACTAACCAAGAGATTATGGTGAAGAATCGCTTCAAAGTTTGCCCCAAGAGGTGTGGAGAAGAAGAAGTTATGAATTTTGGTGATATTCCCGTATGGCTACTGTGCTGGGTTTTAAAAATTTAACTGGACAATTTATACCTATGCGATCGCGAGAGAGGAAATGTGATCGCATAGTTTCACTGAACCTCACGCTCCGCGATCGCAAAGGAGCTAATGCGATCGTATAGACTAAGCTACCCAGCCCCCTCCAGCTTTCCTATTCTTCTACGCGGTCGCAACTATATCTATGCGATCGCATAGTGTAACAGACCCTTCCCCCACGCTGCTGCTATGCGATCGCGAATACACCTATGCGATCGCATAGTACTACACATCAGACACCAGAAAAACTGAAAACCTGCAATCTTTTCCAAGTCAAAACCATTCCGAAACACATTCGAAATACACCCGAGCCCTCGGGGCTCCTAACCAAATGCATGTACTAACTCAACAACATCATACGAACTTATCCGTGCGATCAAATCGCCTAAATAACCTCAAAAGCAATGAATCAAAACTCGAAAACATGAATTTTTCCTCAAACTACATTAAGTTTCAAATTTAGAAATTCAAGTCCGAAATACGTCAAACGACGTCCAATTTCAACCAAATTTCACAGGAAGGACTTAAAACATATGTAAGACCTGTACCGGGCGCCGGAACCAAAATACGGGCCCGATACCAACACCTTCTAATCAAATATCATTTCAATTTTCCTTAACAATTTCAAAAAAACAATTTCTTTTAAAAATTCATTTCTCGGGCTCAGGACCTCGGAATTCGATTCCGGGCATACGCTCAAGTCCCGTATTTTCCTACGGACCCTCCGGGACCGTCAAATCACGGGCCCGGATCCGTTTACCCAAAATGTTGACCAATGTCAAATTTATTCATTTTAACATCAAAACTTAGCATTTTTCACAGAATTTCATATTTAAGCTTTCCGGCTACGCACCCGGACTGTGCACGTAATTCGAGGCAACTCTAAATTAGGTTTTCAAGGCCTCGGAAGTACAGAATTAATTAAAAATAGGTGATGACCCTTTGGGTCGTCACATTCTCCACCTCTAAAATAACCGTTCGTCCTCGAATGGACAGAAGAAGTAAGTACCTGAGTCGGGGAAAACATGAGGATAACGGCTCCGCATATCGGACTCGGACTCCCAAGTCGATGCCTCAGGAGGCTGACCTCTCCACTAAACACGAACAGAAGGGAAACTCTTCGACCTCAACTGACCAACCTGCCGGTCTAGAATAGCCACCGGCTCCTCCTCATAAGTCAAGTCCTTGTCCAACTGGACAGTGCTAAAATCTAACACGTGGGCTGGATCGCCGTGATACCTCCGAAGCATGGACACATGAAACACTGGATGCACGGCTGATAAGCTCGGGGGCAAAGCAAGTCTATAATCCACCTCTCTCACTCGATCAAGAATCTCAAACGGACCAATGAACCTAGGGCTAAGCTTGCCCTTCTTCCCAAATCTCATCATGCCCTTCATAGGCGACACTCGGAGCAATACCCGCTCACCAACCATAAAAGCCACATCTCGAACCTTGCGGTCTGCATAGCTCTTTTGCCTGGACTGAGCTAAACGAAGCCTATCCTGAATGATCCTGACCTTGTCCAAGGCCTCCTGAACCAGATCCGCACCCAACAACCGAACCTCTCCCGGCTCAAACCATCCAACCGGAGACTGACATCGTCTACCATATAAAGCCTCATAAGGAGCCATCTAGATGCTCGACTGGTAGCTGTTGTTGTAGGCAAACTCTGCTAAAGGCAAGAACTGATCCCACAAACCTCCAAAGTCAATAACACAAGCTCGGAGCATATCCTCCAAAATCTAAATAATCCGCTTTGACTGACCGTCCGTCTGGGGATGAAATGCTGTGCTCAACTCAACTCGTGTGCCCAACTCTCGCTGAACTGCTCTCCAGAAGCGCGAGGTAAACTGCGTACCCCGGTCCGAAATGATAGATATGGGCATACCATGAAGGCGAACAATCTCCCGAATATAGATCTCAGCTAACCTCTCGGATGAATAAGAGACTACCACAAGAATGAAATGTGTTGACTTGGTCAGCCTATCAACAATGACCCATACTGCGTCGAACTTCTTCCGAGTCAGCGGAAGTCCAGTAACAAAGTCCATAGTGACCCGCTCCCACTTCCATTCGGGAAGCTCATATCCTCTGAAATAAACCACCAGGCCTCTGATTCTCGTACTTAACCTGCTGACAATTCAAACAACGAGCCACATATGCTATGATATCCTTTTTCATTCTACGCCACCAATAATGCTGCCGCAAATCCTGATACATCTTCGCGGTGCCCGGATGAATAGAGTACCGGGAGCTATGGGCCTCCTCCAATATCAACTCTCGGATCCCATCCATATTAGGCACACATACTCGACCCTGCAATCTCAAAACTCCATCATCATCTAAAGTAACCTGCCTGGCACCTCCACGCTGCACCGTGTCTCTAAGGACACACAAATGGGGATCATCATACTGCCGATCACGGATGCGCTCCAATAATGAAGAACGAGCGACCGTGCAAGCTAACACACGACTGGGCTCAGAAACATCCAGTCTTACGAATTGATTGGCCAAAGCCTGAACATCCAAAGCAAGCGGCCTCTCACCGACCGAAATGTAAGCAAGACTGCCCATACTGGCTGACTTCCTACTCAAAGCATCGGCCACCACATTGGCCTTTCCCGGATGATATAAAATGGTGATATCATAATCCTTCAACAGCTCCAACCACCTCCTCTGCCTCAAATTCAACTCCTTTTGCTTGAGCAAATACTGAAGACTCTTGTGATCCGTGAACACCTCACATGCCACGCCATACAGATAATGCCTCCAAATCTTCAATGCGTGAACTATGGCTGCCAACTCCAAATCATGAACCGGATAGTTCTTCTCATGAATCTTCAACTGCCTCGAAGCATAGGCAATGACTTTGCCATCATGCATCAACACTGCTCCAAGCCCAACACGGGAAACATCACAATAGACTGTATAAGGCCCAGAACCCGTGGGCAAAACCAACACCGGTGCCGTAGTTAGAGCTGTCTTAAGCTTCCGAAAGCTCGCCTCACACTCATCCGACCACCTGAACTGGACACCCTTCTGGGTCAATCTGGTCATCGGGGCTGCAATAGATGAAAACCCCTCCACGAACCGTCGATAGTAGCCTGCCAACCCCAAGAAACTCCGAATCTCTGTAGCTGATGCTGGCCTAGGCCAGTTCTTGACTGCCTCGATCTTCTTTGGGTCCACCTGAATTCCCTCTGCTGATACAACATGACCCAGAAATGCGACTGAAGCCAACCAGAATTCACACTTCGAGAACTTAGCATATAACCGACTATCCCTCAGAGTCTGAAGAACCACTCTAAGGTGCTGCTCGTGCTCCTCCTGGCTGCGGGAGTATATCAATATATCATCAATGAAGACTATCACGAAAGAATCCAAATAAGGCCTGAACACTCGGTTCATCAAGCCCATGAAAGCTGCTGGGGCATTTGTCAACCCGAATGACATAACCAAGAACTCATAATACCCGTACCGAGTGCGGAAGGCTGTCTTAGGGACATCAGATGCCCTAATCCTCAACTGATGGTAGCCGGATCGCAAGTCAATCTTGGAAAATACCCTGGCACCCTGAAGCTGGTCGAACAAATCATCAATCCTCGGTAGTGGATACTTATTCTTGATCGTTACCTTATTCAATTGCCGGTAATCAATACACATTCTCATTGACCAATCCTTCTTCTTAACAAATAACACCGGCGCACCCCAAGGTGAAACACTAGGTCTAATGAAACCCTTCTCAAGCAAATCCTGCAAATGTTCCTTTAACTTTTTCTACTACGGCGGGGCCATACGATATGGCGGGATAGAAATGGGCTGAGTGTCCGGAACCAAATCAATGCAGAAGTCAATATCCCTATCGGGTGGCATACCCGGCAGGTCTGAAGGAAAAATATCAGGGAACTCACAAACAACGGGCACAGAATCAATAGAGGGAACCTCAGCACTAGAATCACAAACATAGGCTAAATAGGCCAAACACCCCTTCTCGACCATACGCCGAGCCTTCATAAACGATATAACACTGCGGGTAGAATGACCAGGAGTCCCTCTCTACTCTAAACGAGGCATACCCGGTAAAACTAAGGTCACAGTCTTGGCATGACAGTCCAAGATAGCGTGGTAAGGTGATAACTAGTCCATCCCCAATATAATATCAAAGTCAACCATGTCTAGAAGCAATAAATCTACACGAGTTTCAAGACCCCCAATCACCACAACACAAGAACGAGGGACTCGATTGACCACAATAGAGTCACCCACCGGTGTAGACACATAAACAGGAATACCCAATGCATCACTAGGCATGACCAAATACAGGGCAAAATAAGATGACAAATACGAATACGTAGACCCCGGATCAAACAACACTGAAGCATCCCTATCACAAACCAGAACCGTACCTGTAATAACCGCATCTGAAGCCTCTGCCTCGGGTCTGGCCTGAAGAGCATAACATCGGGGCTGAGCCCCACCACTCTGATCTACCTCTATGGGACGGACTGCTGCTGGCTGGCCTCCACCTCTGGCGGTCTGAGCTCCACCTCTAAATCCTCTACCTCCCCCTCTAGCACCTCTACCCTCACCTCTAGCTGGCTGGGCGGCCTGTGGAACATCTGGTGCCTGAATCATAGCACGGGGACCCTGCTGCTGCGACTGAGTACTCACCAACCTCGGACAAGCCCTCCAGACATGACCATACTCACCACACTCATAACATCCACCTGAATGCTGCGGCTGAGGAAATTGAGACTGACCCTGGCGGCCTGAATGACCACCCCGAAAACTCTAGAGCGGCGGTGCACTGATAGGAGCAGGTGGTGCACTGTAGGACTACTGATCAGAATACTGCCTGCGAGAACCACGGCCACCTGAAGCACCGTGAGAAACCTGGAGTGCTGACTGGAAGGGCCTAGGAGGATGACCCCTATCATACGAATCTCTGCCTCCAGACGAGGCACCACTAAATCTGCCTGACTGACGGGGCCTCTTGTCTGCTCTGTGACCACCCCCCTGCGATAGTACCATCTCAATCCTCCAGGCCACATTGGTCGTCTCCTGAAAAGTGATGTCACTCCCAGCCTCCCTAGCCATCTGAAGACGGATCGGCTGAATAAGGCCGTCAATAAACCTCCTAACCCTCTCTCTCTCGGTTGGGAGTATAAGTAGAGCATGGCGAGCTAAGTCAATGAACCTGGTCTCATACTGGGTGACCGCCATGGAACCCTGCTGGAGGCGCTCAAACTGCCTCCGATAGGCCTCTCTCTGAGTAATGGGGAGAAACTTCTCCAGAAATAGCTGTGTGAACTGCGCCCATGTCAAGGCTGGTGATCCCGCTGGCCTAGATAAGCAATAATCCCTCCACCAAGTCTTGGCGGATCCAGACAAGCGAAATGTAGCGAAATCAACCCCATTGGTCTCAACAATACCCATGTTCCAAAGAACCTCGTGGCAGCTGTCCAAATAATCCCGAGGATCCTCGGTAGATGCACCGCTGAAGGTAGTAGTGAAGAGCTTGGTGAACCTGTCCAATCTCCACAAAGCATCGGCAGACATAGCTGCTCCATCACCGGCCTGGGCTACCACACCCAGCTGAGCTACTCCAACTGGCTGAACTGCTGGAGTCTGAATCGGGGGAGCTACCTGCTTCGGAGTACGAATAGCAGGAGTCCGGGCCCCTCCTCCAGCCTGAGAGATGGCTGGTACTACAGGAAGCAAACCTGCTCGGGTGACACTCTCCATGGGACCCACCAATTGGACCAGAGCGTCCTGAAGAACTGGGGTAGAAATAAACCCCTCTGGGACCTGAGCTGGGCCCACCGGAACTGCTGGGGCTGGGGCTGGGGCTGGGGCTGGGTCCGGAACCTCCTCGTCAAAATCAACCTGAGGCTCCGTCACTGGTGCTGCTGCTCAGGGCTGAGCTCTGCCCCTACCTCGGCCTCTAGCATGGCCTCGGCCTTGCCCTCTAACCCTAGTGGGAGCTGCCTGGGGATCAGACTGCTGATCGGTAGATGAGGAAGCGCGTGTTCTCGCTATCTGCGAAAGAACAGAGTAGAAATTCAATTAGCATTGAGAAACTAAACCGCACGACAAGAAAGAACAAATGTGAAACTTTTCCTAACTCTGTAGCCTCTGGGGGATAAATACAGACGTCTCCGTACCAATCCCTCAGACTCTACTGAGCTTGTCCATGAATTGTGAGACCTATGTAACCTAGAGCTCTGATACCAACTTGTCACGACCCGGATTTCCCACCCTCTGGAGTCGTGATGGTGCCTACTCGTGGAAGCTAGGCAAGCCACACATTTAGAGTTCATAATACTATTGTTTTAAATCCATGTTTACCAATTAAACTAACAGGAGATAAATAATTAAACAATAGCGGAATTCATAATTTTTCGGAAGACTTAAACGAAGTAAACCAAAATAATAAGGAAAATCCACATATGCCTCTACCCAGGACCGGTGTCACAACATTCACGGACTATCTAAGAGTGCTACATACAACTGTCTGAAACAAGGAATAAAGTCTGTCTCGGATACAAAAGGAAACAGATCATAAATAAAGATAGAGGAGATGCCGGGCCTGCGGACGCCTGCAGGACTACCTCAGGAATCTCGGACTGAAGGATAGCTCCCAATCTACTGCTGATGACCAAAAGCTACTCCGGGACCTGGATCCGTGCAAAAGAGCACAGAGTGTAGTATCAGCACAACCGACCCGATGTGCTGGTAAGTGCCTAGCCTAACCCCGGCGAAGTAGTGACGAGGCTAGACCAGACTACCAAATAAACCTGTACAGATATACAGTATATGGCGGAAAAATAAACAAGAAATGAGCAGTTAAAAGGGAGGGGGTACATGCCTCGGGGAAACAGTTCAATTTAGCAGAAATTAAACAAATGTGAAGGAAGAGCACAGAATCTAAAACAATATAATAACACTACTATTGCGGCGCGCAACCCGATCCATAGGTATATATATATAACTGTTGCGGCGTGCAACCTGATCCAATAAATATAATATGTCTGTTGCGGCGTGCAACCAGATCCAATATAATATATATGTAGCGGCGTGCAACCCGATCCAATATAATATATATGTTACGGCGTGCAACCCGATCCAATATAATATATATGTTGCGGCGTGCAATCCGATCCAATATAATATATATATGTTGCGGCGTGCAACCCGATCCATATATGTATACATAAATAAAAATGTTGCGGCGCGCAACCCTTTCCAAATATACAGCTCACAATAATCATGATAAAAATTCCGGCAAGGGATTAACCATAAAATACTCTATCCCGGCAAGGGAACTCAACAATACATGTATATTCGTCCCGGTAAGGGAGAACCAGCTATAACCAATCTCAATTCAACTTCTAATCATCTCCATTATCACCATTTCCAACTCATAAATACTCTACGAAAATAAGCTAATCCTTTACTCAATACCACGGATCTATTCACTATTGCAACCATAGTATTATTCAGGAATACAACAAATATCAATTTAAGACTCACGGTCATGCTCGACACCGACGTAAAGATACTCGTCACCATGCCTATACGTCGTACTCCACAAGAAACACATAGCAAATATGACTCAACTCCTAATCCCTCAAGCTAAGGTTAGACCAAACACTTACCTCAAACTTCCACGGGCAATTCAATCCTCAATAACCGCCTTTCCTTTCGAATCCGGCTCCAATTCAATTGTATCTATACAATAATGACTTCAATACATCAACAAATGCTAAACAATACGAACCCAATGCCTAATTATAGCTTTTCCATCATTTTTCCCAAAAACACAAAAATCGACCCCGTGCCCGCTTGGTCAAACACGAGGCTCGGACCAAAATCAAATCCCCATTCACCCACGAGCCCAAATATATAATTTATTTTTAAATTCGACCCCAAAACGAGGTCTAAATCAAGAAAACTCAAAAAACCCTAACTCTACCCAAATACCTAATTTTCTACCTTAAATCACATGTTTTAGGCCTAGAAATTCAATAGATGTTGATGAAAATGGAAGGAAATAAGTTAAAGATTACTAACCCAAGAGATTATGGTGAAGAATCGCTTCAAAGTTGCCTAAGAGGTGTGGAGAAGAAGAACTTATGAATTTTGGTGATATTCCCGTATGGTTACTGTGCTGGGTTTTAAAAATTTAACTGGACAATTTATACCTATGCGATCGCGAGAGAGGATATGCGATCGCATAGTTTCACTGAACCTCACGCTCCGCGATCGCGAAGGAGCTAATGGGATCGCATAGACTAAGCTACCCAGCCCCCTCCAGCTTTCCTATTCTTCTACGCGGTCGCAACTATATCTATGCGATCGCATAGTGTAACAGACCCTTCCCCCACGCTGCTGCTATGCGATCGCGAATACACCTATGCGATCGCGAATACACCTATGCGATCGCATAGTACTACACATCAGACACCAGAAAAACTGAAAACCTGCAATCTTTTCCAAGTCAAAACCATTCCGAAACACATTCGAAACACACCCGAGCCCTCGGGGATCCTAACCAAACGCATGTACTAACTCAACAACATCATACGAACTTATCCGTGCGATGAAATCGCCTAAATAACCTCAAAAACAATGAATCAAACCTCAAAAATATGAATTTTTCC